ATTACATATATATATAATTTTTCCCTTTAGGAGATAAGCTGGATGGTAACAAAAATATTACTTAAAGAGAAATACATAGCCTTAAGTACTTATTATAAAAGAAATGAAAAATAAAGAGCTAGATGTCTACCATCACACAGAGTTAGAAAAAGAACTGCAAAATAAACCTAAAGAAAGATGGGCAGATATAATAAAGATAGAAACAGGAATTAACAAAAACCAAAAATCATGGCTGAATAGAACTACACTCCATTGGGTTTTCAAGGCTGTGACCCAAATGTGAGAGCTAAAACTATAAAATTCCCAAATGAAAACAGAAGTAAATCTTGATGATCTTGGATTTTGGCAGTGGAGTCTTAGATGAGACACAAAAAGCATGAGCAACAGCAACGATAACAAAAATAGATAGATTAGACTTCATTAAAATTTAAAACTTTTGTGCCTCAAAGTATACATACCATCAAGAAAACAAAAGAAAAAAAAAAAAAAACTCACAGAATGGGAGGAAATACTTGCAAATCATGTATCTGATAAAGGACTTGCATTTAGAATATACAAAGAGCTCAATAATAAAAAGACAAACAATCCAATTAAAAATGGGCTTGAGAGAGCATTTTTCCAAAGAGATACGAATGGCTAACAAGCATATGAAAAGATGATCAACATCATTAGTCATTAGGGGAACGCAAATCAAACCCTCAATGAGCTACCACTTCACACCCACTAGATGGCTCAAATCAAAAAAGTGTTGGTAAGGAATTGGAGAAATTGGAACCCTCATACACTGCAAGCAGGCATGTAAAATGGTACAGATGCTTTGGAAAACAGCCTGGCAGTTTCTCAAATGGTTAAATATAGAGATACCATATGATCCAGCAATTCCGCTCCTAGGTAAATATCCAAGAGAAATGAATACTTATGTCTACACAAAAACTTGTACATGAATGTTTATAGCAGCCTTATTCATCACAGCCAAAAGGTGGAAACAACCCAAATGTCCATCAGTTTGGGAATGTGGTTTACCATGAGTCTTAAACAGAAGGAGTTTTGAAGTTGGATGGTTCCACAAAATGTGGTATATCCATACAGTGGAATATCTGGCCATAAAAAGGAATGAAATATCGATACATGCTACAACATGGATGAACTTTAAAAATATTATGTTCAATCAAAGAAGCCAGACCACACATTATATGATTCCATTTATGTGAAATGTCCAGAACAGGCAAATCTATAGAGACAGAAAGTAGATTAATGGTTGCTTTAGGAGTCTGGGGAGATGGCAGGTTGGGGAGACTGTTATCTAAAGGGTAAGGTTTTCTTTCTGAGGTGAAGAAAATGTTCTAAAATTGATTGTGGTGTTGGTCACCAATATCTATGAATATACTAAAAACCATTGAATTGTACACTTTAAATGAGTAAATCACATGACATGTGAACTATATCTCAATAAAGCTGTTTAAATGAAAAAAAAAAAAAAACCCCACAGATAGAACGCTGGTCCCCATTCCCAGAATTTCTGATTCAGTAGGTTTGGGTTAAGGCTGCAGAATTTCTATTTCTAAATGTTCCCACGTGAGGCTGATGCTGCCAGCCTTAGCTCATAGAAATGATAGTTTCTTGAGGAACCTCAAAATAATTTTCTTTTACTGTCCTAGAGACTCTGATTTGTATCTTGTTCTTACACTCGGGTCTCAGTTTTCAAATAGGTGTTTCCAGAAGGAGCTTTCTTTGGCATATCATCAAAAATCTGTTGGGTACATGGTAAACACACTCTTCACTTCAAAAAGAGATTCTGCTTACTAAAGATTTCATGTAAGAAACTTATTTTAATAGTGCAAAAAATTACCTGCTTTCCAGTCATTGAAGGAAAAACTTCCAAATAATTTTATGAAACTAATACTTTAACAAATACAAATAATTAGGGAAATGTTACAATTATGTACCCCAAATCCAAGAAAGCAGAGACCATCGTTACAAAGTCAAATCATTTTTAGAGCCGGTCATTCCAGAGTAGTAAAACTTCTACTTTTTAGGCTTCCAGAAAAGAAATGTAACAACTCCAATAAGAAAGTTAAGACTCACGGTAAACAGACCATACTGATGACTTTAAAAGTTTTTCAAGGAGTTCATGGAAAGAGGGAACATGAAGGTTACAAGATCATGTGATCTTCTGACCTCTTATCTCAGAAGTACAGCCAATCAGGAGGGATGATAACATTCACGGAACCCATAGGAATTTAACCTGATCCTGAAGTACAAAACAAATTCTTAAGATGAATTAGTTAAAAAAAAATACAAATATATTTCAGTTTAGCATTAAATAAAAAAGAAACAAAAAAACTATCATGATTAGGATTTGACTAAAGATTGGATGAAAGTTTTTTCATATTTGTATACTTTATAGATAATATCGTTCACTCAACAATCAATGGATACGTTTATTTTTGTGTATAAGGAGGATGTGGTTTCAGGAATTGATACTAATATTAAGTTCATTACTACTACCAGAACTTGACAAAACTGGGGTTTTGGATGTGATATGGTTTGAAGTGTAATTACTATGTCACAAACACCAAAAACAACATTAGTATATTTACATATATACACTGGACCAAAATGAATTAACTTTCCCTAGAAAAAATACACTCAATGATTATGAAAACACTAATATACACTATACAATAAAGGATGGAAAGGGCCTCAAGAAAAGATGGCAAGCATTCCAATAGCTGAGTGCTACTGCTTTCTGTTAATGGCATTTCTGGAATGTAGAAAAAGAATGAGTAGTTTGTACACAGGTATGTCTCTAATCCAGAAATATATGCCAAGTAGAAGCCAGGCTACCTAAAAATCATAGTCCTCTATATGGGGAAATAGCGAATTTTTTGTCAGTGGTAACATCCCCTCTTACATATAAAAGTTGCTCTTTAATTGTTCTTCAGTTAGGAAAAATTTTCCCTTAGTATCCTACTACTAAAAACTTCAGTAGAAAGTTAAGCAAGTTGATAGCAGGCTATTTGAGGCCTCTCATCATTCCTGACTGTAGAGATTTAGAAACTATACAAATTAACTATAATATTGCTAGAAGGAATTTTACTAGACTTCTTTCTAAGACCGAAAGGCCAAAGGTCAAAGCACAATGGAGACCCTGACATGTCATTATTAAATGCATCCTGCTTGGTTCTGATGGCTGTCGTCCATGAGCCTATTGGTGGAAACGGCAGTCCTGGAGCAGATCTTGGTAAATTTGCTTGACTACATTCTTCAGGTAGTTGTCCTCTCGTGGCACCTTAGATAAAATGGCAGCAATTTCATCTTGGCTGTAAGAATAAAGATTAATTAATATTTCTGGTAACTTAAACTTGTCTCCAATTTGATGGAATGCATCTTCTTAGGTACAGTCTCTAAGTTACCTAGGAAGTACAAACAAATGAGCATTTCTGGAAATAAACAGACTGTCCAGTTTGAAATGGGATCCCAGAAAGGTTTAGGAACCGGTTCTGTATGTAACTCTGAAGATCTTAACCTAGCTGCTTTCTCTGGCTCTAAAAATCTAAACTGTTGGTGTTTGCTGAAGTATTTGAGGTAAGAACATTCTAAGTTCTGCCATCTTCCAATCTGTCAGCTGTGTGCCTAAAAAGATGCAAAATATATCACAGCCTAGTAGAGATGAGACATTTTTGGGTCTGGTTCCACAGACTGAGAAATGTATTATGACTGCACAGCTTTTTAAGTGATTATCCTGTTTTTAGGGCCATAAAAGTTGTTTAGGTATGATCTGGGCTAAGCTTATGTAGGAGTTTTTCTTTCTTGACTTCTGTTTTAGGTAGGGGTATTTAAAAAATGGAGCAGGTATAAAAGACTAGACTACAGGTGTACCTCGTTTTATTGAGCTTCACTTTATTGCGCTTTGCAGATACTGTGTTTTTTACAAGTTGAAGGTTTGTGGCAACCCTGTGTCGAGCAAGTGTATCGGCACCATTTTTCCAACAGCATGTGCTCACTTCGTGTCTCTGTGTCACATTTTGGTAATTCTCACAATATTTCATACTCTTTCATTATTATACCTGTTAAACGGTGATCTCTGATCAGCGATCTTTTATGTTATGATTGTGATTGTTTTGGGGTGCCACGAACCGCACCTATATGAGATGATGAACTTAACTGATAAATGTTGTGTGTGTTCTGACTGCTCTACTGACCAGCCGTTCCCCTGTCTCTCTCCCTCTCTTAAGGCCTCCCTATTCCCTGAGACATGACAATATTGAAATTAGGCCAATTAATAACCCTACAATGGCCTCTAAGTGTTCAAGTGAAAGGAAGAGTCTCAAGTCTCTCACTTTAAATCAAAAGCTAGAAATGATTTAGCTTAGTGAGGAAGGCATGTCAAAAGCCGAGATAGGCCGAAAGCTAAGCCTGATGTGCCAAACCGTCGGCCAGATTGTGAATGCAAAGGAAAAGTTCCTGAAGGAAATTAGAAGTGCTACTCCAGTGAACACATGAATGATGGGAAAGTGAAACAGCCTTATTGCTGATACGGAGAAAGTTTGAGTGGTCTGGATAGAAGATCAAACCAGCCACAACGTTCATTTAAGCCAAAGCCTAATCCAGAGCAAGACCCTAACTCTCTTCAATTCTACAAAGGCTAAGAGAGATGAGGAAGCTGCAGAAGAAAAGTTTGAAGCTTGAAGAGGTTGGTTCATGAGATTTAAGGAAAGAAGCCATTTCCACAACATAAAAGTGCAAGGTGAAGCAGCAAGTGCTGATGTAGAAGCTGCAGCAAGTTATCCAGAAGATCTGGCTAAGATAATTGGTGAAGGTGGCTACACTAAACAACAGATTTTCAATGTAGACGAAACAGCCTTATATTGGAAGAAGATGCCATCTGGGACTTCCATAGCTAGAAAGGAGACGTCAATGCCTGGCTTCAAAGCTTCAAAGGACAGGCTGACTCTCTTGTTTGGGGCTTGGTGACTTTAAGTTGAAGTCAGTGCTCACTTACCATTCCAAAAATCCTAGGGCCTTTAAGAATTACGCTAAATCTACTATACCTATGCTCTATAAATGGAACAACAAAGCCTGGATGACAGCACATCTGTTTATAGCATGGTTTACTGAATATTTTAAGTCCACTGTTGAGAACTACTGCTCAGAAAAAAATTCCTTTCAAAATATTACTGCTCATTGACAATGCACCTGGTCACCCAAAAGCTCTGATGGAGATGTACAAGGAGATTGATGTTGTTTTCATGCCTGCTAACACAACATCCATTCTGCAGCCCATGGATCAAGGAGGAATTTTGACTTTCAAGTCTTGTTATTTAAGAAATACATTTTGTCTGTGGGGACAATGGTCTCGGGGAACATCTAGCTCAACTGACATAACATAGTTTATAAAGAAAATGTTGTACATTCTACTTTTGTGAGTAGCGTCTGGGGTCTTAAAAGCTCGTGAGCGGCCATCTAAGATCCTCCACTGGTCTCACCCTGTCGGGAGCCAAGGAGAATGAACAAAATCAAAGACACAAGGGAAAGATTAGTCCAAAGGACTAATGGACCACAACTACCACAGCCTCCACCAGACTGAGTTCAGCACAACTAGATGGTGCCTGGCTACCACCACTGACTGCTCTGACAGGGATCACAACAGAGGGTCCCAGACAGAGCTGGAGAAAAATGTAGAACAAAATTCTAACTTACAAAAAAAGACTAGACTTACTGGCCTGACAGAGACTGGAGAAACTCCAAGAGCATGGCCCCCGGCCACCCTTTTAGCTCAGTAATGAAGTCACTTCTGAGGTTCACCCTTCAGCCAAAGATTAGACAGGCCCATAAAACAAAACGAGACTAAAGGGGTACACCAGCCTAGGGGCAAGGACTAAAAGGCAGGAGGGGGAAGGAAAGCTGGTAATAGGGAACCCGAAGTCGATAAGGGAGGGTTGACATGTTGTGGGTTTGGTAACCAACGTCACAAAACAATATGTGTACTAATTGTTGTTTAATGAGAAGCTAGTTTATTCTGTAAACCTTCATCTAAAGTGCAGTAGAAAAAGAACTACATTTTGTAAGGCTATAGCTGCCATAGACAGTGATTCCTCTGATGGATCTGGCACAGTAAATTGAAAATCTTCTGGAAAGGATTCACCATTCTAGATGCCTTAAGAACTCTCGTGATTCATGGGAGGAGATCAAAATATCAACATTGACAGGAGTTTGGAAGAAGTTGATTCCAACCCTCATTGATGACTTTGAAGGGTTTAAGACTTCAGTGGAGGAAATAAGTACAGATGTGGTGGAAATAGCAAGAGAACTAGAATCAGAAGTGGAGCCTGAAGATGTGACTGACTTGCTGCAATCTCATGATAAAACTTTAACGGATGAGGAGTTGCTTCTTATGGATGAGCAAAGAAAGTGGTTCTTGAGATGGAATCTACTCCTGGTGAAGATGCTGTGAACACTGTTGAAATGACAACAAAGGATTTAGAATATTATGTAAACTTAGTAGATAAATAAGTGGCAGGGTTTGAGAGGATTGACTCCAATTTTGAAAGTTCTTACTGTGGGTAAAATGCTATAAAACAGCATCGCACGCTACAGAGAAATCTTTTGTAAAAGGAAGAGTCAATTGATGTGGCAAACTTCACTGTTGTCTTATTTTAAGAAATTGCCACAGCTGCCCCAACCTTCAGCAAACACTACCCTGATCAGTCAGCAGCCATCAACATCAAGGCAAGACCCTCCACCAGCAAATAGATTACAACTCACTAAAGGCTCAGATGCTGGTTAGCAATCTTTATCAATAAATATTTGTTTAATTTAGGTGTGTACATTTTTTTTAGACACAATGCTACTGCACACTTAACAGACTACAATATAGTGTAAACATAACTTTTATATGCACTGGGAAACCAAAAAATTCGTGTGACTCGCTTTATTGCGGGGGTCTGGAACAACCTGCAATATCGCCAAGGTACGCCTGTAACGGTTTCTAGTTTACACTGGGAATAGCAATAGCAGTCACTGACTTGAAAAGAACAAATTCTTCAAAATGAAGGCAGAGAAGTGACACATAAGCACTTAGCGATTACTATGGTCCACCCGTTTGCTGACCACTTTAAGGAATCTTCCAGATGAAATAAATAAAGGTGAAAAAGTAGTTGGGAGCCCTCTAATGCTGACCCTTTACTTACCCAATGTTCCCAAGGTGATTTTGAATGGAGAAAGGTAACCAGACAGATGGATAATGGGCTGAGAGGGACAAAGTTATCTCAAACTTAGCAAATGCTGCAGGGCTGGAGAATAAAAGCCTCAATCTGTGCAAGACAAGATCCACAATTAAAGATACAAAACAAAAACAGACTGCAACACAAACACATTTCCCTATGACATTGACATGCGAAACTGAGGTGCAATTATTTCTTGTCATTATCAAGCATGAAACATGTTAGTAGAATAAATATTTTAATAAGTTTTTGACTAATTACGTACTCAGTATTATTTACATCTGTGTTCATGAGGTTATAATTTGGTCCCCATCTCTTTAAGAATTCAATCTCCTCTCCAAGGAATTTGCAGTGGCTCACTACTAATGAAATTTCTTGAAGCATCTGGGAAAAAAAGAAGAAGAAGAAAAAAAAAAAAAGATGAAATCGTGAAAATATTTCAGTGTTTAGTGATTCTCTTATAAAGAAACTAAAGAAAGTTAAACAATTGAATAGATTTATCATTTCAGGATCCACTGTTGCATATATAAAATTTCAGTTCTGCTTTCTGGGATAGAGAACATAAATATTCCTCAGTCAGACTTTACCTTGGGCACCTGATGCTGTGTTGTACACTTCTTTTTCCAGGACTCCTGTTCCTCGATGTACTGGAAAATAAGCTGATGAACTAAAAGGGAGGAAGGAGGAGCTTTATCCTCTGGAGAAGGAAAAATTAAAAGGAGGGTATTATTTATTATTCATATGTTTTATATAAACTAGAAATACTATACTATATAAGCTAGAAATATTCTCAAACTTCTAGGTACATAAATATTCTCTTCATTTTTATTTTCAAACACATATGTGGTTTTTTTAATTTTTATTTCCAACATATAAGTCGAGCATAAGACATTCCCATAAAAACTCAAGTCCTTATCACATACAGAATAAAATTTGGTTTAACAGTATGGGCTTAAATGTAGCACAAACCTGAGTTTAAACCCTGGCTTCCCTTACTAGCTGAGTGATCTTAAGCATACCAATTTTTTGAGCTATATTTTCCTAATATGTAAAATGGGGAATAATGCCTATCTCATAGTGTTGATGTAAATAATACACATGCCTGATACAGAGTAAACACTCATATTGGTAATTTTTTAATTACGGAAATAGCTATTATGATCATTGCTCAAGGTCTAGTAATAATAAAAAAAAATTTCAAAATCATTTTAAAACCTACCCTTTTAAAATCCTACACATTGGCAACATTAGCCAAGTAGTTTATGTCTAATACACATTTCTAAAGACAAATTATTATTATTGTTTATATTTAACTTAGCATATTAAAGAGTTCTCGAGAACTTACACCTATAAATTACCAACAAATTTCTAGAGGCTCAGATGTTTTTAACTTACCATCCAAAAGAGACTGAAAATTCAGGTCAGCAATCTTCCTATAATCCTTGTTCAGGAAAGGAAGACCAACTAGGAAGAACCAGAGTAAGAATTTCTTTTTACTGTCTGATTTCAACCCTCGTAAAACTCAGTACTTCAGAATCCTACTCCTTCTGGGTAGCAGGGTTTTCTCCTAGCCTAGGCAGTTGAAGGTATCTCCTTCAATCTTTTGAATATATTATTCTCTGTATATGGGGAAGGCCCCCCGAGACTGCTGAATTACAGTGATTGGCAGGCCTGGAAGGAAATTTAAGGCATAGTACACAGCTGTATTTGTCAAGGCCTCCTCCTCTGACCCCTAACTTCTGTGCAAAGATAATTTTATTTTCAGGAACCTTAGTGAAGAGAGTCCGGCTCCTGGCTATGTGTGATTTCTCAGGCCTCACTGTAGGCAATTACAAATTTCCTCCCGGCAGTCCTCAGAAGGAAAGCTGCCTTCCCAAGCAGACTTCGTGCACAGCCAATGCATTGCAGACTCTGAAGGGAGCTTCACTCAAGAGGACGTAGCCACCCCCAACCCCCAGTGCTCTTTTGAATATGTGCGTTCCTAGCCTAGGCACTTCCGTAGGGAGGCGTCTTCAGCAGAGGTCTTCCTCAGGCACCTCTGCTGAACCCTCCTTATTGAGGGAAGAGGGGAGGACCCTTGAAAACATTTTTGCCCACTCTGACTCAATGCTCAGTATTTTTCACTCCTAGCACTTCCCTTGACCTCCCCCTGGCCCTTGCGTCTATAAAACTACAGAAACCTTTTGTTTGAGGCTCCCTCGGCAGCAGTGAGATAGTCCCTACCTCGCATTGATCCACCTGACCCTCACTGGGTACTATTCCTGGAGAAATGTGGGACAAGGGGGAGTCGGTGCCTTCTCTGGGTTTCTCTTGCTCATACTGTCACAGTATGATTAAAGGCTTGACTGTTACTTTCATTTTGGATCATTGTCTTAATTGGCTTTTCTGACACCTGACAGCTCAGCTCAGCTCTCCCCAGCTCAGCTCCCTGACACATACAAGGGAAATACAGGTGGTTATGAGCCCCCCACCCCTACTATCCTTGTAGCAATACAGTAAAGATGATTTATGGTTTTAGTATGACAGTAATGAGTTTTGGGTCGCCGGGATAGCTGAGTGCTCCTCAGGCTGTAGAGTTATCTCCTGTCTCTCAAATTCTTTTCTCTTTGTTGAATGTTGTTATACATGTTAGGCACCCTGGATACCATAACGAGAAAAACAGACAAGACGCTAGCTTAGGGGGACACACAGATAACTACATTAAGAAATATACCCAAAACTTGAAACTGTGATACCTGTACCCGTTGCGGTCAAGTTGATTCCGACTCGTAGCGACCCTATAGGACAGAGTAGAGCTGCCCCATAAGGTTTCCAAGGAGCAGCTGGTGGATTCCAACTGCTGACCTTTTGGTTAGCAGCAGAGCTCTGAACCACTGCGCAACCACAGCTCCTCAAAGTGTGATAAATGGTATTAAAAAACTACCGGAAACAATAATAACATCTAACAGAAGGTAAATGGTAGAGAGGGTGGGTAACAGAGGAGCCTAGGAAGACTTTCCTAAAAAAGTGATAAGCTGAACTCCAAAGGGTTATTAGTAGGAATTTTTTCATAAAGAGGAAGAAAAAGTGTCCAGGCATAAGAAACCTAAGTATGAAGGTCCTGAGGTAGGATGGAATCCATCTGAGTGTGAAAGACCATGATCACTTAAGGAAATGAAAGAAGTCCATCATGGCCAATGGGCAGAGAACGGGGGGAAGGTACTATGAGGCAGGAAAGAGAGGGGAAATTCAATTAATGTAGGCCTTTACAGGCTATTTAAATACTTTGATCATTAGCCTCAGAGTAGAAGGTATATGGTCAGATTTTCAACAATCACTCTAGCTACAGGGTGGAGAACGAATTAGAGAGGAAAAGGAGAAGATCTAAAAAGATCAGGTTAGAGATGACTATTGATAACAGGAAATATGGAGAAAAGTGAATGAATATTAAGAAGTTAAAATCAATAAGTCTTTTTGACAATTTAAATATGCACAGTGAGGGAGGAAAAGGTATAGGGTGATTCCTAGGTTTTAATTTTGGACTTCGATGGAAGTTGATGCTATTCATTGAGAAAAGGAACAATTAAGGAGATTCAGGTTTGGAGGCTGGGAGGTTGTAAAGATCATCAGTTCCAATTTGGCTAAGTTTGGCCATGTTGACACTGACTGGTCCAAGACAAAAATACCTACAGATACAGGAGACACCAACAAATCAGCTGGGATTCTATTCAATCACTATACAGTGATGTCTACCCATTATTTTGATAAGCCCACCTTATACACAGAACTTCTAATTAATTTTTTAGGGTCTCACTCTTAAACATGAGAAAACAATGAAGAATCACCAGCCATTAGAGTAAACCCTTCATCACAAAAAACTGAGATGGACAAAAGGAACTCAGAAGAAACAGACGTGAACAGCATATTTATTCATTATTTCGACAGGCAAAATTTCTATCATCTAATGTAATTCAACAATGGACAACCTTGCCTAGCTGCATTTTTACTCTTTATCTAATTTAAAAAAAAAAAAGCAAAAACTATTCTTACTAATTAAAGTGATCACGTCTTCTAAGATTTCAGCAGTGGTTTCATTATGTGAGTCATTATTATTGTATTAAAATAAAGATTTAAATCTCTAGTGAGTTTCGCTATATGTTGTTCAGCAGAGGAATCGTCTTTTGTTACTTACCTACTGCCTCTCCAAAAGTTATGGTGAGCTCTACTGTGTCATAAAGAAAGGTGAATACAGCTTGATCATCACTCCACTCAATGATATCCCATTCAGACAAGCTGGAGAGAGATAAACAAGGTTATTTCCTTGAGATAAGAAGAGAGCGATAAGTTCTAATCCTACTCAACTAGGCAGGTCAATGTTTTGCAACTAGATTAGCAGATAATCGATATTTCAATTCAAATAGTGGGAATTTACAATTTTATGCTATTGAAAGAAATAAGAACCAATTCAATCTTGAGTTGTAAATCCGAGAGAAGTCAAGTCTAGGCAATGAAAAGTGTTAAATATTTTAAAATCATCATCTCATAGCTCTCCCCCTCTGTTATTTTCAGTTCAGTGTTGAGTACATTGAGTCTTTTGAGGCTGTACTATTGTCGTTGTTAGGTGCTGTTCAGTCAGTTCCGACTCATAGCAACCCTACATACAACAGAACGAAACACTGCCCGGTCCTGTGCCATCCTCACAATTGTTGCTATGTCTAAGTCCATTGTTGTAGCCACTGTGTCAATCCATCTCATTGAGGGTCTTCCTCTTTTTCACTGACCCTCTACTTTACCAAGCATGTTGTCCTTCTCCAGGGACTGGTCCCTCCTGATGACATGTCCAAAGTACAGAAGTTAAAGTCTCACCATCCTCCCAACTAAGGGCATTCTGGCTGTACTTCTTCCAAGACAGATTTGTTTATTCTTCTGGCAGTCCACGGTATATTCAATATTCTTTGCGAACACCATAATTCAAAGGTGTCAATTCTTCTTTGGTCTTCCTTATTCACTGTCCAGCTATAACCTGCATATGAGGCAACTGAATATACCATAGCTTGGGTCAGGTGCACCTTAGTCCTCAAAGTGACATCTTTGCTTTTTAACACTTTAAAGAGGTCTTTTGCAGCACATTTGCCCAACACAATACATTGTTTGATTTCTAACTGCTGCTTCCATGGGTGTTGATTGTGGATCCAAGTAAAATGAAATCCTTGACAACTTCAATATTTTCTCCATTTATCATGATCTGCTTCTTGGTCAAGTTGTGAGGATTTTTGTTTTCTTTATGGTGAGGTGTAATCCATACTGAAGGTTGTAGTCTTTGATCTTTACCAGTAAGTGCTTCAAGTCCTCTTTGCTTTCAGCAAGCAAGGTTGTGTCATCTGCATATTGCAGGTTCTTAATGAGTCTTCTCCAATCCTGATGCCATGTTCTTCTTCATACTGGCAAGCTTCTTGGATTATTTGCTCAGCATACAGCTTGTTCTGACTGATGATACTGAGCTTCTCCATGGTCTCTTTCCACAGATGTAGTCAATTTGATTCCTGTGTATTCCATCTGGCAAGGTCCATGTGTATAGTTGCCATTTATGCTGTTGAAGAAAGATATTTGCAATGAATAAATCATTGGTCTTACAAAATTCTATCATGTAATCTCCAGTGTCGTTTCTATCACCAAAGCTATATTTTCCAACTACCGATCCTTCTTCTTAGCTCCAACTTCCCATTCCAATCACCAGTTATTAACAGTGCATCTTGATTGCACATTTGATCAATTTCAGACTGCAGTAGTTGGTAAAAATCTTCAGTTTTTTCATTTTTGGCATTAGTGGTTGGTTCATTAATTTGAATAATAGTTGTACTAACTGGTCTTCCTTGCAGGCATATGGATATTATCCTATCACTGACAGTGTTGTACTTCAGGATCTTGAAATATTCTTTTTGACAATGAATGCGATGCCATTCCTCTTCACTTTGTCATTCCCAGTATAGTAGATCATATGATTGTCTGATTCAAAATGGCCAGTACCAGTCCATTTCAGCTCACTAGTGCCTAGGATATTGATCTTTAAGTGTTCCATTTCCTTTTTGATAATGTCCAATTTTCCTGGGTTCATACTTCGTACATTCCATGTTCTAATTGTTAATGTATCTTTGCAGCTGTTTCTTCTCATTTTGAATCCTGCCATCAGCAAATGAAGATCCCGAAGGCTGGACTTCATCCATGTCATTAAGGTCAACTCTACTTGAGGATGCAGCTCTTCCCCAGTCATCTTTTGAGTGCCTTCCAACCTGAGGGGCTCATCTTTCAGCACTATTATCAGACAATGTTCTCCTAAGGTTTTCACTAGCCAATCTTTTTAGAAGTAGATTGCCAGGTCATTCTTCCTAGTCTGTCTTAGTCTGGAAGCTCTGCTGAAACCTGTCTACCATGGGTGACCCTGCTGGTATTTGAAATACCAGTGGCATAGCTTCCAGCATCACAGCAACGTGCAATCCCTCACAGTAGGACAAACTGACAGACAAGTGGTTAAAATGAGTAACACACATAAAAACACATCAACTGCTCCAATAGGTTTGGACAACTTACTCAAACAGAGGATAAAAAACTGCTTTTTCTTACCTCAACTGATCTAATAGCTCTTCGGTTCTATTTGTTTGTTTTTTCATAAAGTCTATTTGAGCAAGGGTCTGCTTTTTCTGTACCTCCAGTTCTAAGAGATTCCTGCAAATATCACAGAAAGACAAGTTTTGTTGTTAGATAATTCAGACTCTATCAATATAAAAGGTCTATGACAAGAAGTCACATGCTAGATAGCTCTCTAGTAAGGTAATAATGCAGGTGAATGGCACCCATTTCTGCATTCTCAGACTTTTTTTTTATTGTTGTTGTCGTTTTTTTTTTTTTTTTTCATAATCTAAAAGTATGGGTCTACTTAGAAAAGGCCTAAATCTATGTCTCTCAAATTAGAATCTATGAAGATCTCCTTAGCGGTTCACATGTTCTTTAAGATAGTTTTTAAAATTTACATTTTTACTTCAGTAATAAAAATATTACTATAAGCATATTTTCAATCATATGGGTGCCCGCCTTAGAACTGTCTGCATTTGGTTGTGTTGTTTAGTTTCTAGAGCTTAAACAGAACCTATGTTTTGGCCGTCATTTTGCTAGCATCAATTTAATTTCAGCCAAACATTGTCAACTGTCAATTAATGTTATCAGTTGGAACTCTATTGCTTTTGTCATTATTAATATTTAAAACAGTTTAATGTTAGGTTTATTTTCTTTAAAAGGACCCTGATATTCAAGCTTGAGAAATACTGGCCTTTCCTTGGATTAATTCCTCGTAAACAATAAATGTTTAGAAGATATTGCTGACTAAGATGGCCCCCAGGGTCCAGTTCAAAGGAGAGCAGAAACCCTGAGTTTGTCTTAGTGAAGATTCCCGTCCCCAGTCTGGTCAGTCTCTGGAGGTAGGACGTCATTTGCCTGGTGGAGTTTAGCATTAGACTTTCTAACACTCAGAAGACTGACCTTTGAAGCTCTTCTTCTTTGATTTTTAGTTGTTCCAGTTCTTTGAAAAGAAAATTAACATCTATCAGAATGAACATATTAGAATGTTGTCACAAAAATCATGTTTCATTGAAAATTCTGACTTACCTCACCTAAAATACACATACACAGAACAGATTTGTTTTTCATTTATTTTATCTCATTAACTAATTCAGTTACCTACCTTTCTCTGCAGCTCTCATTTCAGAATCCCACTTTGCTATAGGATCTTTCTCTTCATCCTCCAAATACTTAGTTTCTAAAGTAGACAGTATATGTTAGAATAGCGCAGTCAAAAATAACTTATTAAACAACCAGAGATAAAAAGAATAGACGCTCCCAAGATAAACTGCTGCAAATATTTCACAAACACTCACTTTCCCTGGCAATAAAGTACCAATCTACAATTATAATGTCATACAGAGACTTGTTGTTTGTGCCAGACAGTGAACTTTGAGCTATGATGCAATCATCTCCACTAACATGTTCTCAGAAGTCATTTTAAGATGGAAGCTGTTTACATATAATTTGAATATAATTAGGCAATCTCCACGGGCTAAGTAGGAGCAGATACACATGTACAAATACATGCACACACGTATTTAAATTTTAATTTATTTTTGAAATACAGGTGTTATTGCTAAAACTACCCTCTCTCTCAATATCCAATCCATCAACAAGTTTAGATTTTTCCTCAAAAATATCTTTTGAATCTACTTTTTTTCCTAACTACCAGCACCCCTTAGTATAAGCTCCTGTCCTTTCTCAACCAAACCAGTCCAATAACTACCTGACTCTTCACATTTACTTTTGATCTACTCAAATCCAATTTCTACACCACAGCCAGTGCTTAACACCATTCAAATGACTGTTCACTATTCTTAGAAGAAACACAAACTCCTTCAGAGGCCCTCTCTGGCCTGTCCCTAGTGACAACTCCAGCTTCATCTCAGAGTCCCCTTTTGCTCTCTCTACTCCAGTCACAGTGGCCTTATGTCAGACCCTATACCTGTATATTCTCTCCCACAGAAGGGCTCTGCGTGTGCTAGTCATATCTAAGAGTCTGCTCTCCCCTCCCCTTTCATTTCGTTAATCCTTACTCATCATTTAGATCTTGGCTAAAATGTCACATCCTCAGAGGAAAACCTCCCCTCACCTCCTGACTAGGTAAGATATCCGTTACAGGACCTCATAGTACAAGGTAACCTCTCTTCCATAGCACTTAACATAAAATTATTTGTTTAATTCCTATATTCTCTTCTAGACTGGATGCTCTATTAGGGAAGGAATAGTTTTTGTTTTTGTGTATTCTTAGCACCAAGCACTGTACATGGCACATAGTAGGTACTCAGTAAATTTGCTCAGCAAATAATGAAGGGACAAGAAAGAGATAGGGAGCCATTCAATGGTAGCTAGGGAGGGAAGTGCGGTTATTGGTATTTTTAAAGATGGGAGTAGAAGTCAACATATTCAGTGGAGGTGGAGAGGTTGAATATACAAAAGAAAAGGGGAAATCAGTGGTGTAAGATTCCCAAAAAGACAAGAGGGATAAAATTCAAAGTGTAGGTAGAAAGACTGGTCTTAGGGAAAAGAAAGGAAGGAAAAAAAAATAGATGTAGATATATGAAAGGCTGGTTGGTTTGGTAGTAGGAAGTTTAGGAACTTCCAACCTGATGGCTTCTATTTTTTTCTCAGTGAAGTAGAAAGTGAAGAGCAAAGGGGTGGGGCAGTCTAAGACATGGAATTCATATACTTGTCAATTCAATGCAGAAAACGTGTACTAGGTACCTATTCTGTGGAAAGCATGGTACTAAGGGCTTTGAAGGATAGGGAGAAAAATAAGAGCTGATCTTTGCACCCATGGAGCTTATAATTTAGTTAGGGAAATAAAACTACACAAAAATAACTATAACGCAAGTAGATGTGATGGGTACTGTGACCAAAACCAAACAACACCATAGCCTTCAAGTTGATTCTAACTCACAGCGACCCTATAGGACAGGGTGGGACTGCTTTATGGAAGCAGATTACCACATCTTTCTCCCATGGACTGGCTGGTAGGTTCAAACTGCTGATCTTTCGGTTAAACCACTGTGTCACTAGGGCTCTTTCAGTACTGTAACCGAAACCAAAACCAAACCTGTTGCCATCAAGTAGATTCTAACTCATAGTGACCCTAAGACAGAGTACAACTGCCCATAGGGTTTCCAAGGAGCAGCTGGAGGATTCAAACTATCGACTTTTTGGTTAGCAGCAGAGCTCTTAACCACTGTGCCACCAGAGCTCCAGGTACTATAAGAAGTACTAATAAAATAGACACAGGAGCTCAAAAGGAGATAGACACTGCTTCCTACTGAGATAGAGACCACTTCCCATTACTTCTGGGACACAGGAGAAGACATTAGCAAAGACAAAGTGGCAGTAGTACACAGGAACGACAAGATTTGGCTGGAATATAGGGTGGGTAAAGGAGTAGTGGCAAGTCATGCAAGAAAGGAAGATCTGAATATGATAGAAGAGAAACGCCCAGCTCAGGAGCTTGAACTTTATTTTGTAATTAATGGAGAGACATAAAACTGTCTCCCCTCCCTGCCGGAGAGTAACAATGAAAACTGTCCGTTACGGTAATTAATCTGGCAGTAACGTGCAGGTTGGCCTGGAAGGAGATAGAGTGAAGGTAAGAATGTAGAAAGATTAGTTAGAACACTTGAAACAGCACCTTTCAGAATTAATGAGAACCTTAACGGGAGTCAGAAAGAACACAAGAGTTGCTGAAGAAGCAGATATGACAGGGCTTCATAAGAGACAGTCAAAATCAGTGAAAGTTTTGAGCCTTTTACAACATACAACAATGGTGATTCCATTAATAGAAATGAGAAACATAACAGGGAGAACAAGTTCTGAATTTTATTTTGGAGATGGGAGGAGACAATTCAGTTTATTCACACTAGTTTCAGATGCTTAAAGACATTATACAGAGAAGTGCAGCAGGCACCTAGAAGTGCAAGTCTAGAACTCAACAGAAAGGCTAAAGGTGTCCTCCTCCAAAACAACTACAAGCTGCCTGAGTATATTTGTGTTTATAAATCTTGATATTTGTGTTTTATGTATCTTTATATTTTTTCCAATGCTAAGCACAAATACTGTAGAGCATGCAGTAGGTGGGCAGCAAATGCTTAATAAATTTAACTGAACTTGGAAATCATTTACATAAACATGATTGTTAGGGCAGATAAAACATTAGGGTAGAAAATGCAAAAAAGGAAATGCCCACACGAGGGGTTACAGAAAGAAAGGCCAACAGAGGAGAAGAGAACAGAGTCAGGGTAGTACAATATCATAGAGGTTAAGGGAGCTGAAAGTTTCAGGAAGAAAAGAATAAGCATCAATGTCAAATGCTAGAAAGGGGTCAAGATGGCTAAGGACTAAATTTGATGATTATGTGGAATTTTGTGATCTTTGAGAAAGCAGTTTCAGGATAGCGATACTAACAAGTCAGGATTGTGAGAGGCCAGATTGAAAGGATGGCCAATTTTCAGACAGAGATAAATTCATTTATTAAAAACACAAGATTATGGTTTGGGTTTAGAAGAACTTTCCAAAGAGACTTACTACCTTGGGCAATTCTTGTTGATTGTGTTAAGGATCACCACACTATAGGAGCTTTAATTTGCTCTAATTTATTGTTTCAAGCTGCTAATGGAAGGCTTCAGCCTAGAGATACCAGCAATCTCTACTGCAGGAAATAATTTAGATAAAATTAAATTTTCTTTTAGAAAAGTATTCAAGATACTTTACCTATTTCCACCTTAGTGAGACAGTTATCAATCTTCTTCAGTATGTCGTCCATCTCATGCATCCTTATCTGAAGTTTCTCCCTCTCATTCTAGAAACAAAATGCAGATTGCCAGATTAGACCTCTGAAAACAAAACAAAACATAAATGGCTCCAATTGCTGACAGAACCGTTCTGTCCAAATCACGGACAGGCACGTGTTAAGATGGAGGTCGAAGCTTCACGTCTGGGCTTAAAAATTTTTTAAAAGACATATAATAAATTAATATAAAATCTTTTTTTTTGTACTTTCGTTTATTCTAGCATTTCCACGTGTGTTCTATGGAATATGGATTCCATGGGATATAAATATGTTTTAGTTAAAAAAAAAAAGTTCTATGGTCAAATAAATATGGGAAACACTGGTCAGACAGAATTATAGCATCTTTTTTTTCATTTAGATTTTGACTTTAGACTTTAATATGCTATTGTATTTCACCAAAGGAGGATATTGAATGTAGCATTTCGAGACTTATTTGCCAGTGGAAATTCTTTTATGCCGAACATTTCTTACAGGACAGTCATTTTGCTACTTCACACACACACACACACACACACACCACACACACACACACACACACACACACACACACACACACACATACACACACACACACACACACACACACAGAGCTGGGTATGGACTATGAGGACGATAATACTACATTATAGTCCCTTAGCAATAGGAGACCAGGAATCCTAGCATTTCATCTCAATATGTACAATGTATAACAATATTTGAGATGAGACACAGGCCCGTATCAGTAATTATATTCCAATATTACTCAAGATGCCAGGATTTGCCACTTCTGGTCAGTTGAATCCCACCTCTTATGAACAATTGCAAGTTTGTGTCCAAGTCTCATTCACACGCCTCTTAAGGAACATTCTTCATATTCCATAACCACTATAAAGTTATTTTAATAGCTCTTTCTTTCTATGCTGTTAACTGTCTCAGATTACCTGAGCTGATTGCTCCAGCTTGCTGTAGAGAGCCACTTTTCCTTGGTGGGTGAAGACTTTGGTCATCTTGGTAAAACGTGACTTTATTTTGTTCAAGTAAACTCCAAAGGACTTTAGCTGTAAGGTAGAGTCAAAGGGTACATTGTACCAAAACAAACAAGTCAAAATCAGTAAATGGTCTGGGAAGGCTGGCTCAGCTGCCACATTCTGGGCTTTGCCCACCCTAGACTGATTCCTAAGGCGGGGCACCTCTCGTATGCAAATTTAATTCCATATATTTGTTTAAAAATGGAACCAGATATTTCAGTCTCAATTCCTGTCAAATTAGAAAAATGACAGACTCTAAGTTAATCAAACCTTCTTAATATAGACTGTGTATTATTCAATTGATTAAAGTACATCTTCATCTAAATCTAAGTGAGAGGCAAACAGGAAGGACAGAACTCTAAATAAACTTCAGATATATTTCATATATTAAGGTGATCGTCTCAGGTTTGGAAAGATTACATATTAATAATTACGTGTCTAATTAAGTAAGACCTTGTAGAGGCCCTGAGGGAGCGCTGGTAGTACAACAGTTAAGCGCTAGGCTGCTAACCAAAAGGCAGGCAGTTCAAACTCACCAGCCACTCAATAGGAGAAAAAACCCATCTATCTGCTCCTGTAAAGATTACAGCCTAGGAAACCCTATCAGGCAGTTCTGCTCTGTCCTATGAGTCCTATGGGTCACTATGAGTCGGAATTGACTTGATGGCATACAACAACAATAACAGAGGCCCTGGATGGTATAAACAGTTAACATACTCTGCTACAAACTGAAAGGCTGGAAGTTCGAGTCCACCCAGAGGCATCTTGAAAGAAAGGCCTGACGATTTACTTCTGAAAAATCAGCCACTGAAAATGCTATGGAGCACAGTTCCACTCTGAATCACATGGGTCATTATGAGTTAGAACTCACCTGACAGCAACTGGTTCGGTTAACATATTACATCTTAGAAGCAAGTTAAAGAATTCACCACTAACTGTCATGTAATAGTCACTATTTCCCCATAAACATTGTTCAAAACGCCTGTAAGGATTCCCGTTCAGAAAATGAGACGAGTACCTCCTCATCAGAGCAGCGTCTCATTTTTTCCCACAGGTTCTTATTTACATCACTCAGCAGTTTATCTTGGTTCAATGCAGAGAGCTTTAATCTAAAATATAGAAAAGTTAATTAGCACAGGGTTCAGAAGCCAGCCTGAATGAACCAGCTCAGATCTACAGGCTTACTTAACACAATGCTTCTTAATTCCTTCCTACCTAAACAGAGGGGAGCTCACTCAAGACTAGTAGCCGGCCTGATTAGTTTAACACTTGTAGAACAATTCAAGAATGTCATGCATCAAAAAAACTTCCCTCTCAAACAGAATTCTCACCTCAGTGTACCAACTTGTTCCAACATGAAACAAACTTGTTCCAACATATTGCTTATGAAGAATTCTTAATGCCTGTCAATTTATAACTGCTGTGAAGTTGTAGCTATTATAAGCAAAAGCTCCCAATCCAGTCCAAAGCATACTATTCTGTATACTTTAGAGAACAGCAGTTATAAAAGTAGCAAAGCTATTATAATTTCAAATTTTAATAAGTTGAGGAAATAAATTTCTATCAGAGTTAGAAGAATATATTACATGCAGGCATGTGGGTGCAAAATGAAACAGCAGAGCACAGCTAAAACAGACTGCTTGTTGTGTGCAAAATCGTATTTCATTCCAAGTAAAACAATTTCCCAGTTTAAACATTCTCAGACAAATTCTGGGACACCCAACTCTTCCAACAACATGAGGACAGAGACCATGTCTTCTTGCTCAGTGATAAACCCCAGTACTTGTACAGTGCCTGGTACATAGTTAAGTGCTCAGTACATATTTGTTGAATCAACAAACCACAATCAGGCAAATCTGAGTATTATATTTTAACAGTATCTTAAGTTTCTAGTTTTAAAACTACACAACTCTTAAAGATTATTTTATTTCTTTTCTATTTGCTAGAGTGGTTCAAATTTAGTTGATAGTCCTGGGTAAGTATGACACCAATACTATTTTGGGTTGTAAATCTAGATTTACTTGCAGGAATCTACATATACCTAATTTGTAAATCAATAAGCAGCATTAATATACACCAAAGCCCTGAATTATATTTTAAGAAAAACCATGTTCTTTTATATATGCAAATCAAGGGCAAATGTGATACAATGACAAACCCAAAGACATTCTAGAGTTCAGGCACTATGTCTAAATCACTAAAGGGTACTATCTTCTTTTATGATGTTTTCTCTCAATCATCTCATATCATAATCTAATAATTACTATTTTTGAGGGCTTACTTTTTACTAAGAATGGAATGAAAACATTTTCTATACACTATTTCTACTGCTTATTTCTACCTGCTGAGTAGGTATTATTATTCTCACTCCTTGGATAAGGAAATGAAGGTTAAATGACTTACCCACGTTTATACACCTAGTGTTGGAGGCTTGAGCTTCAATCTGACTACAAAGCTGAAACCCTTTCCCCATGTCACACTGCCAGCTAACACCATCACATCTTCCATGCCAATGCCATTCTAATCAAAACCTTACCACACAGACTGTTCACCCATCCAACAACAAAACATGAAAAAAACAAACAAATCTTTCATACTCTTCGATCTTTTGGCGAAGAGCCTCACAATCTTCTTTATAAATCTGTATCTTGGGTCCATAAACATACTGACTTAACATCAGGTCTTCTGGAGTAGGTGGAATGTTTACAGTAAACTGAAAGAAATAAATAAACAAATCCCTCAAAACTGGCATTCTGAGGACAAAACTGTGTTCAAGAACGAATTCAAGTTTCAGAGTACCTATTTTAAAAAGCTGTACAAAGAAAGGAAACCCTGGTGGCACAGTGGTTAAGAGCTACGTCTCCTAACCAAAAGGTTGGCAGTTCGATTCCACCACACGTTCCTTGGAAACCTTGTGGGGCAATTCTACTCTGTCCTACAGGATCACTATGAGTTGGAATTGACAGTTTAGTGAAAATATAATATTTTTTCATTGAGGTAACTATTTTGCCAAGAAATTTCACTTACTTTGGTTGGGAGATTGCTCTGCCGGGGTTTCTGTATTAAGGTGTGGACCTGAAGAAGTATAAAGAACTCTTTGATTGTTATTCTCCCATCCTTGAGTTTCTGAGGAAAGAAAAAAAAGTTTGCACGACCATTCAAGATGAGCTCACCTTGACTATAACCACTTCATTTGTTTTTAAATAGCTTAAAAGTACTTTGCATGTAGTTATGGAAATATTATCCCGATATTTGTAGACTATACATGAGCAGATTTTATCTAAGATTACTTCTTAAGGTTATTCAGTAACAGTAGAGTTGAGAAAAAATTACAGGTCTTCTAAACTACTTCGTATAGTTAATTGCCATGTTGGGTCCTTGACAAAGAAAAAGAAAAATAGTCTTCTGTATATTTGAAATATCTTACAATTAAGAAAAAAATTTTTTTTAAAAAAACAAGGAAATAAGTTGTATTAGAAATAAGAAATACTTTTCACATACCTCTCTCAAACTCTCTTCACAAATTGTGTCTCTGAGAAACTGTGATTCTACTTGACTATTGCGGTGTGCTACAAATAAAGTGAAATCAGGTGAGGAACCAGTCAAAACTAAATTGTGGATTTAATTTTAGTTATCTTTCAGGTTTACGCACAGTTCATGCTCCTGAAGCCATCTATCAGGATCTTTCTGGGAAAACAGTAATTTAAATTTAGGAGGGCAAAGTACATCCCAGTTTGGAGGCTCCTTTCAACTCTTTCAATGTTTTTCCAACTATTAGCCTCTCACTCTATGCCTCTACAGTACGTCTCTTCTTAATTTGTTAATGTAGCCAAGAATTAAAAATAAATTAAATGGGATCAAATCAACAACAGCAACTTGAAAGATAACATAGGGACCTTAGGGGGCAGTGAGTTTATGTTAATGGGGGAGGAACAACTCGGAGGAGGAGGGTGAGAACGGTTGTACAACTCAAGGAATGTAATCAATGTCAATGAACTGTACATGTAGAAATAGTTGAAATGGTGTATGTTCTACTCTGTATATTCTCAACAACAAAAATAAATTAAAAAAATAATAATTTTACTTATCAACTATTTGTAAACGCCCAGAAAGCTTATACAACATTCAAATATCTCCTGAACTGAAAGACATTTATTACTTGTCAAATAAGCAAATGACTGCTATTATTTAGTCTTTATGAAGATCTTACTGCTAAAGTCCAGAGACGTCCCATCAGCCTTGATTGAATCCAGAGAGCTGCTGCAACTCGGTGGGGTCCTGCTCAGGCTTTTCATCAACATAATGTTGGCACTTTTATCTCTATCCCCTTCAGTATGGTGATCAAATATCTGAAATTATTAATTAAGGCATATCATGAGTATGAACTTATGGCACTGTATGCTTCTAATGATTAAATGTTGGTTGAACACTAACAGAAATACTATTTCTAACATTAAATTTAGCATTAAAAAAATCAAACCCAAACTGGTTGCCATCGAGTCAATTCCTACTCATAGTAACCCTATATGGCAGAGTAGAACTGCCCCATAGGGTTTCCGAAGAGCAGCTGGTGGATTCAAATTGCTATCTTTTGGTTAGCAGCTCTAGCTCTTAACCACTATGCCACCAAGCCTCCAAATTTAGCTATAAAGCATATGAAATATCTTAGTAACGAATCAGAATATGTAACAGGGACAACGTAGGCCTTTAATTAAATTTATAACAAAAGTAATTTTGTTTAAAAATACATAGAAATAACTTTATGCATTATATTGTGTAAGTAAATTGTTTCTCAAATGTATCTATGTTATAGCCAGATCCTAAGAGCTACCAAATGTTGACCTATCCGGTTGTTCAATTATCAGTCACCAGCGTCAAGGGCACCACACTGCATAAAACCAGAGTTCCATTTACATAGACTATTGGCTATCTATGGTGTCCCCGGCAGAATGCAGAGAAGAAACTTATTTCCAGGCTTTAGTACTTCCATCCCCAGCTGACCAAGATTTCTTTGGCTGAAGTAAAAAAAAATCACATGGTCCTGCTTTTTGCCATTTTAACCATTTGATTTCATAGCCTTAAAAGTCATCTTCGTCTATCTCCTTCTGTATGTTTTGCAAGGACAACGTATTCTAAATACTAGATTGTAAGCTCCATGGGACCAGATTTTTGTCTGTGTATTTCTACTGAAGCACTCCTAGCCCCTAAAGTAGCACCTGGGATATAGCAGACACTCAATATTTATTGAACAAATAAACAGAATACTGTTTATTTATTGAAATACATAGAATCTATTCAATTTAAATTTTAAATTACTACTTTCTTGAAGCTTCATAGACTAAGCAATTATTTCCTATTGATCTTTTTTTATAGAACCACAATGAATATTGCCTTAGGAGCTCATCTTAGAGAATTACTGAAACCATCTTGTAAGCTTATATTTATTAACAGAGTTTAAACTTTGTTTTCTATTTTTCATGACCCTCTGATGCTTTCTAAGCTTTATTTTCCCACCTATAAATCTTTAGTTTGAGAGACAGGTTTTGTTCCCCACCTCAAGTTACCTAACTCAGTGTGTCTCAACTTAAAAAAAAAAAAAAAATCTATGCTCTCTTTTAATAAACACAGAATTTCACTCACTTCACTTTGAGATACTGGGCTTGACATAGGCATTCTCCCATGCACTACAGAAAAGGACTCTCTGCTTCTATATATATACTTATTAGCCAAGAAAATTCAATCAAATTTTTCTTTACATAGTTCATATAACGAAAGGTGTTTTACTCCCCAAGTATTTGTAACACTGAAGATGATTTTTCAAACTACATATAACCTGCCTGGAGATTCGTATATGCAAAGCCAGCTAAGAATCATTGACAAATCACCAGAGGTGACATAATATTTAGAATTAACTACAAAATTTCAACATGAGTTAATTGTTGTACTACATTCTATTTTATTTTTCTGCGACTGTTTGTCACTTTAAATTGTTTTTAAGTCTTGATGTTAGTCAATTCCTGACGGTTCTACATAGGAATATTTCTCCAGCCCTATAATTGGAAATAATCAATTGTTGACTAAAATTAAAATTAGGAACATTCCTTCGTTTACAACAGAACTCACCTGCTGATCTTGTGCAGTATCACTAGGCCTAACCTCATTTTTTCTGATTTTTTTCTCATTTTGAATATCATCATCTTCTTCTTGTACCCATGTTCTTTTTTGACTGGTATAGGTTTCTTCTGCTTTATTTTCAGATGGTGAAATCTCTTTTTGGTATGTGTCAATCAAAGTCTTTTCCTCAGTTTCTATACTAATTGAGTCTGAAGAATTAATCTCAGGATATGTGGGAAGATTTTCTTCATTTATGTATTGAGATGGACTTAAGTTCAGCTTAGCTGCAACAATGCCAACGCCTAAATCTTCGCTAAAGACTGGCTGAGTTTCTAAGTGATTTAGATCAGTTGTGTCAGCTGGAATCTCCTCCCGCTCATCCATACCAGTGACACTGCAATTTCTCTTGTTTGGCAATCTGGGCAAAAAGATTCCCAAAGAACATTTCCTCACTTTATCCTTTACAACTGTCATGAATGATACAGAGTTGATTTCAGCACCATTATGAGAATTTTTATTTTCTTCATTTCTGTCATCTTTAGCATTGGTGGACACTATGTCAATATGTTTGTCTGTGGCTTGCGCTATACTCATATCATTGGGTGCCTTATTTGCTAAATCAAGTACCGGTTCTGGAGGAGGTGGTGTATGAACAATCTGAAAATCTAAAATGTCTTCAGTTTTTCCATTCAAATTATTCAGATTTGGTTTGATCCTACTAAAACTTGGAGCGTCAGATGCAATCACAGTATCTGATGGTTCTTTAAGATTGGCGTGGGTTTGACTGACTTGCTTAGTCAAGTCTGAGTTACTGTGGCAATCTGTATCTGTACCACATTTAGTTGTTTGCATATTTTCCTTCAATTGCTTTTTATAGGCTATAGTAAACTGTTTCTCATTATTCAGCATTGTGGGCTCATTTTCACATGTGGGTACAGAGAAATTTCCTATAACAATATTTAAATTCTTATATTCAGCTCTAGACAATATTGTTTCATCTTTATTGACAATATTTTGTCCTTCTTGAGGTAATGGAGGTAGCTGAGTTGAGAGATGAGACTGAGAAGCAACACAAACATCAACAAAGGGCTTCTTTAATCTATGTTCTGCATTATCAACAAAATCTTCCATCTGAGCGTTTGGAGGCTTACAAGATACTCGCTTTGAATTAAGTTTAGTCATCTCCCCCGGACCCTGACTACCTACTAAAATTTGATTAGCTAGATTTTGGGGGTCCTTAACCAGATCATCTTGATCTTTGAGTGGTGTTATGACACAGTCTAACTGTCCTTTGGTATTGGTTTGTGTACCTTCTGTCTTCTCTAACAAAGGACAAGGAGCAGAGATAGGCAATTCCTCAGGTTTCAAGCAACATTCAGCTGCCAAATCATTTGCATAAGCAAGATCACTTGGCACTGGGTAGTTGCTGGCTTTCTCCTTATCTTTATCACACAAGGACATGATATTCCCCTCTAAATTATCAACATAGGGAACGAGGTTTGGTGAACAGGAATAATTATCACTGGATCTACAAGTAACAGTTGCATGACTGCTCGTAAAATCCACATTTCTTCTATCTGTACTGTTTAAGACACAACTTTCAGTTTTGGCTTTTTCCAGTGTGTAGGCCCAATCTACAGCCTTCTCCATGACCTCTTCACCTGCAGCCCTGCTATGGAGTTTGGTAATTTCCATCTCACCTTGATCCCCCAACAATGTATTCATAGGAACAAGGGGTACTATATGACGCTGTTGTTCACTGTGAGGAATAATTTTGTTTTCTATGGCCAGTGCTTGGTTTTTTGTGATTTCTTGAAAAGAGCTGTCATCCTTAGGAAAACAAACACCCAAGTTTTTTCCTTTTGTTATTCCAAACTTAGGGCACTCTTGAAATATTTTCTCCATGGCTTGACAATCAATAAAAACAGTGTGGGACTTGGTGACTTCTAGATCATTGTGATCATCCATAAACATTACAGTCTTGTCCATAGTCCTAGTAGTTATCTCATCTGGTGAGACAGGTTTACATTGTAAGGCAGTTGTGTGAATTCTAGTGATCTCCATGTCATCCTGTCCACATGCATACAAAATAGTTTTAGAAGTTCCTGCCAAAGGCATTGAGTGGGAGTCCTCTTTATCTCCTAGGGCACTTTTGTGACTTACTTCCACCATACAACTCTGGGTGGTATCCATATCATTTTTATCACTCTCTGAAAATGCAATAATCTTGTCATTTTTGAGTCTGAGGCTTTTCCTTCGCTGACATTTTCCTGATTGAGTTTCATTCAGAAATCCATGCTTTTGTATATCTTTATCATTTTTCCAAGTCATCGATTTACACACCTCCATGTTATCATCAGCTATAAATGGTACAGCTTTCTCTAGACCACTATTACACCATTTTCCCTGTAGTGTTAGCTGGCTGCCTTTTGCTGCTGGGTGGCCACTTTCACCGTTCTCTGGAAAGAAAACACTCTCTTCATTAGGAGCAGATGTCGCTTTTGGTTTTCCTAGGCTTTTCATTTTGGGTAGCTCAAAGTTAGGTCTGTCTGGAAACACAGTTCTCTCCTTGGCTTGGTAGTCAATGAAAACAGTGTGGGACTTTGTCATTTCTAGATCATTATGATTATCTAGAAATACAGTCTTGTCCATAGGCCTAGCAGTTACTTCATCTGGTGAGACAGATTGACATTCTAAGGCAGTTGTGTGAATTCTAGTGATCTCCATGTCATCCTGTCCACATGCATACAAAATAGTTTTAGAAGTTCCTGCCAAAGGCATCGAGTGGGAGTCCTCTTTATCTCCTAGGGCACTTTTGTGACTTATTTCCACCACACAACTCTGGGTGATATCCATATCATTTTTATCACTCTCTGAAAATGCAATAATCTTGTCATTTTTGAGTCTGAGGCTTTTCCTTCCCTGACATTTTCCTGATTGAGTTTCATTCAGAAATCCATGCTTTTGTATATTTTTATCATTTTTCCAAGTCATCAATTTACACACCTCCATGTTATCATCAGCTATAAATGGTACAGCTTTCTCTAGACCACTATTACACCACTTTCCCTCTAGTGTTAGCTGGCTGCGTTTTGCTGCTGCGTGGCCACTTTCACTGTTCTCTGGAAAGAAAACAGTTTCCTCATCTGGAGTAGATGTCACTTTTGGTTTTCCTAGGCTTTTCATTTTGGGTAGCTCAAAGTTAGGTCTGTCTGGAAACACAGTTCTCTCCTTTGCTTGGTAGTCAATGAAAACAGTGTGGGACTTTGTCATTTCTAGATCATTGTGATTCTCTAGAAATACAGTCTTGTCCATAGGCCTAGCAGTTACTTCATCTGGTGAGACAGGTTGACATTCTAAGGCGGTTGTGTGACTTCTAGTGATCTCCATGTCATCCTGTCCACGTGCATACAAAACAGTTTTAGAAGTTCCTGCCAAAGGCACCAAATGGGAATCATGTTCATCTGATAAAGGTCTATGATTTATTTCTACTGTACAGCTCTTGGTGATATCCATATCATTCTCATCACTCTCTGAAAATACAATTGACTTATCAATTTTTAGTCCGCCAACACTTTTCCTTCCACAAGTTTTGACATTTTGCTTTTCATTCAGAAATCCAGGTTTCTGTACAGTTTTGTCCTCCAATATTTCTGTAACATTAGATATAAACACTCCAGTCTTTTCTATAGGATTTTTATTACATTTTTCAACTTTTACAGCTATCTCTCTGCTTATTGTTGTTAGCTGACTGTTTGTATGTTCTAAATTAGTCTTACCAAGTTCTTGCACTTCAGAAGGGTCAAATCCAATGACAACAGTATGACTTTTGGTTAAATCCATGTTTTGTTCCTCCATTGAACAATTAATCAGCTTGTCATGAGAACAGCTAAGTGTGGGGCTGCCTAAACTTTTCTTCAGTGGCTCAGGCAGTTTAGAATTCTCATCTGGTACAGATATCACTATATGGCTGTTAACAGTAGTATTATGATTTTTCATGAGCACTTGTCCTGATGAAAATAAAGGCTTTGTGGTAGAAAACAAAGATTGCTCACATGAAACTGTATTTCTATTATTTCCCAGTGCTACTTCTTCATCAAGATCTCTACCAGAGGAGATAATACTATGGGTTTTTGCTACGTTCTGGTTATAACTAACTGACTGAGGAGAATCTTTATCAAGATAGTGTGAAATCTTCAAAATCTGATCTTTTTCTTTGCCCCAGATAGTGGTGAAGATGTTTTCCGATACCACATTTGATTGTAGAGTTGGTTCACTGTGATTTTTAGTCATTTTTTCCCATTCATCTGAAGGGCTTTTGCTGGGAAACTGAGATTTACTAGAATTCTCAGGTGCTAGATTGTAAGATGCAAGAGGAGTTTGACTTCCTAAGTTACCTGTGTGACATTTAGTCAAATCCATATCTTCATCTGTTAAGAGTTTAGTCTTTCTGTCAGTCAATGAAATAGACAAAGAATTTGCTAGGCTCTGCTGTAATCTTTCCTTAAAAACATGAGGAACTGAGCTACAATTTACATTCATTTTCCCATCCTCTGCCACACTTATGTGATTTTGGAGTATCATTTCCTTTTCAGACATTGGTGTAGCTGTTATCTGTACATTTGTCTGATCGTGTTTAAAAATCTGATTATCTATAGCAACTGTGTGACTTTTGGTAATATTCATGCTATCCTCTCCTGAATACAAAGTTTTTTCTGTGATAAGAGAGATGGCATCTGAATTGGGACACATTTTATAATAATTACTATCATGCTTTAGTAAAATTTTCTCTTCTCTCATACTTGAGAGACATTTGGTCAGTTCCATGGAATCACTACACCTAGAATAAAAAACAGTCTTATAATCTTGAACAGCCGAACTGGAACATATAGATTCTGAGCCCATGGCCAAACTTTTGCTATCTTCGTTACAGGCCTGTGTGACTGTGTGAGTTTCTGCTCCCATAAGATGACTTCTGGTAATATGTATTTCATCTTCAGGGCTTAAGGTAGAATCTTGAAATGCAGCATTCAGCTTATTCTTAAAGATTTTCTTCTTTCCTGGAGATTTAGTTCCATAACCTGTTGTAACATCCATCCTGACATTCTGAGTTTGGTTTTCTATTTCAGATAAATTATCTGCTGAGGGTAAAATCTGTGTAGTGCGGTTAATTGTCAAGTCCATAAAATCACCACCATAAATTGTAATATCATCACTTTTAACTTCCCTTAAGCTGGTCTTATTGGATATAGGAACCAAAGTCTGAATATTGGCTGTATGACACTGGGTGAAATTCATCCCATCATCTTGTTCTCTAAAGATTCTAGTCCTATTACTGCTATTTTCATCTACATTAAGAGATACATCCATATGATGTATAGAAGAGGCATTCTTTGATTCTTTGGCATGAACAGATAGGTCACAATTTTCTTTATCAGACTCTTCAGAAGGAGAAGCATTTGGTTTTCCCATTTTCAATCTTTTTATAAAGTCACTGAAATTTATTTTCTTTTCTGAAGAAGTATTTTGATCCATGGAAACATTTAATTCTTTTCTCATTTTTGAATCTTCAGTGTGGAGCTTTAGGCTAGCCAGAAATGATTTGGTATCTATCTTGGTGGATTTTTCACTTTTGGTACAATCTGAAAGGCCTTTGGAAATCATCACAGTATGACTTGCTGTCAGCTCCATCTGATTTTCATCTGAAGAGATAACTGTCTGGTGGTCATTTTCATGTGTCCTTCCTTGGTTGTGTTCTATAACTGAAAACTATAATGAAAGCAAATAATAAGAGATCAAACTAAATGCAAACTTAGTTTTTTAAAGGTATTATACAACATGTATGACAACGTATAAATAATAATCTTTAATGATGGTTTCATGAAACACTGGTTTGTTTGACTCAGTGGTATGGCATGTACCAAGTAATTTGCTATTAACGACTTTTGTCATGTCTATGAATAATTTACTTTTTAATGCTTTGAGGGGAGCCCTGGTGGCACAATGGTTAGGAGCTACGGCAACTAACCAAAAGGTCAAATCCAGTTTGAAACCACCAGCCACTCCTTGGAAACCCTATGAGGCAGTTCTACTCTGTCCTATAGGGTTGCTATGAGTCGGAATGGACTCGAGGTTACACACCTAAAAATGAAACAGACTGACAACACCAAATACAGTCAAGGCTGAAAATTCTTTATATTGCACTCTGTGCTCTTGGGAATTGGGTTCTCTTTGAGTCTTAATGCAGTAGTCTTATTTGTAAGGACACGGTCTAATTCCTTGCTACTCAAAGTGTGGTCTGTGGACCAGTATACTAGCATCACTTAGGACATTGTTAGAAATATAGAATCTTAGGACCTACCCCATATCTACTGCATAAGAATCTATATTTTAAAAAAATCCTTTGGTGATTCATATGCTCATTAAACTTTGGGAAGTCCTAGTATAATTAATACATCTCCCTATTATCTAAACTGATAGTGATTTAATTATCTTTAGTTAAGAAGTAAGATGGGAAGTTTTTCCAATCTGTGCTGGTCTATTTTGGTAAGCCATTCCTAAGTCATGCCATTATCATTAAATTTGTTGCTTTTTTTTAAAATAAGTTTTAACTGTCAAGAAGGGTTAAGATATGAAGGCACTTGCATGAACACATACCTCTCTCTGTTGCATCAGGTTCTGAATGGGGGCACAAAGCAATGTGTTCATCCCTATTGAGAAAAAAGAAAACATTGTAGTCAATGACTGAAACACTACACATTACCAGGGGCCTGATTTTCTTTCCTTAGATTCTTCATCAGTTCTAAGTCTTTACTGAGGCTATTCATAAGAACTTGCTATACTTATTAAGACTTTTAATGGTCCTGTTTTAGTGCCAGAGTGATCCTCTGTGTGATTAAAATCTTTTTAGAACATAGTAAAGGCTTTAAAGGTTATGATTGGTGGATATTTTAGACTTCTTTCTTTTTTTCTTTCAATGGTTCATTTTTATTTCCTGGAAATCAGAGGTTAGCGGGCGAAGAGCGCCGAGTGATGAGACTAAAAGCGCAGGACTCTGAGGGCCTTTTATTCTGTCCGAGGGAATCTAGACGTTCCCATGACGAGATACGCATTTTATAAAAATAACTCCAGAGAAGGAAAAGAAAATTCAGAAGAAGGCAGTCAATGATGAAGCTACTACAGTAATTCAGATACAACATGATGAGAGTTTATGCTAGGGGAAAAGACAATGAGAATGGAAATAAGGGATTAGACTCAAGACATTTTAGAGTTGAAATATAATGGTATAGGTAACAAACTGGACTTTGGAAATAAGGAAGATGGTATACAGAAACAGAAAATACATTTTAAAATACTTAAGTTTAAAGGCAAATCTTTGTAACATTTTAAACATTTATGGCAACCTCAAGTGTATATGATGAAATAATTAAAGGCTCTTTACTAAAAGTCTTATTTATATATCAGGCTGCCAGTCACTGATTCAGTAAATACTGATTCAGAACCTATTACGGGCCAAAAACTGAACTAGCCACTAAGGCACAAAAAAAGAACAAGACAAAATTGCCGGCCTCAAAGAGCTTAAGAGAGCCAGAAGTAAATACCTAAAATACAGTGTGATAAATTCTATTTACAATAGGCTGAAGAATAAAAGGTATGTTGTGGGAGCACAGAACAGAGTGTCTAGCTCCTTGGTTTTGTCAGAGAAGTTTCCGTCTAAGTCAGTGCCACTCAAAGTATGGCGCCAGTCTGTGATCTGCTTGTTACCAATTCATGATGAGATAAGAAGCTTACAGCAAATGTAAATCATGTACTACTTCCTTCGTTAAAGAAAGCCTTGCTAAGAAAAAAATGTCAGCTAAGCTAAACAGTGGCCTAGTGTCATAGCTGAGTTATATTCTAGCACAAGCTCTTTTTCTGCAATGGATTGTAACAGTTTGTGGACAGGCTACTTTGAATAGCCCTGAAGTAGAATCTTGAAAAATGAGACGATATCTAGGCAAATTAGAGAAGGAAAAACCCCTTAGGTAGAGGAAATGGTATTTACAAACGCATAGAGGCAGAAGACAAGTCTACATAGGGAACCATCATGAGCTCATTATGGGCTAGAACATAGGACATTAGGAAGGGATTTTTAAGTCAGTGCTAAGGAGTGTGGGTTTTATGTTGTAAACAAAAAAGTGTCAGCGAACAATTTTAAGCTAGGAAGTAATATATCAGGTTTAGAAATATGTATAATAGATTGGAAGAGTAAGAGACAAAATACGACAGTCCAAGAAAGAATAATAAGAATTTCAATTAAAGCAGTGGCATAAGAACAGAGAATAGGTAACAGATTTGTAAGTTATTTAGGAGGCAGAATAGAGAGAAAGTAGGGCCAAATGGACGTGGGGAGTGAAGGAAAAATTTGAAGTGATGCCTTGGTTTCTGACTTGGGTAAATGCCTGCGTACATGGGAGTCCAAGACAGAGGAAACAAGAGGACCATCAGGTTTGAGAGAAATAGTGAGTTTTTGAAATTCTAAACTGAAGACTTTGTGTAAAAAACAAAGGTTTCTTCACACACTTTTTATTTTATGGTTCTTTTACATATTATCAAGGAATCGGATGAAGGAAAAAGTGTATGGTATAAAAAGTATTCTGGTTCATACTCACCAGTAATCTCACAGTGATTATCTTCTGGACTTTTATTCCTAAAAATTAAAAAGTATTTTCATGATGTATTCGTTGTTGTTAGTTGCCATCATTTTGATTCCGACACATGACAACTGCATGAATGCAGAATATGACTGCTCCATAGGGTTTTTAAGGCTGTGACATACCGAGAGCGGATCACCAGGCCTGTCTTCCAAGGCATCTCTCGGTTGGTTTGAACCACCAACCTTTAGGCTAGTAGTCAAGTGCTTAACCATTTGAGCCACCCAAGGACACCTAATAAGGGAGCACTGGTGGCGCAGTGGTTAAAGGACTTGTCTGCTAACCAAAAGGTTGGTGGTTCAAAACCACCAGCCGCTCCATGGGAGAAAGATGTGGCAGTCTGCTTCCATAAAAGATTACAGCCTTAGAAATCCTACGGCACAGTTCTCCTCTGTCCTGTGGGGTCACTAAAAGTTGGAATCAACTCGACAGTAGCGGGTTTGGTTTGGTAGGGACTCCTAATAATGTATACTCCAAATAATTAACAAGAATCACAACATTTGACTAAATAAATGTTGGCACAAACAGTAGCTTATAATAGACTGAGGTAGACCTATATCCTATATATTATGACACGGGAAGTGCTACCAAACATTTTATTAAGTGATCCTGTTTTTGTTTTGCTTTAAAAAAAAAAAAAAAGCTAAATATAAGCATGCAAAAAAATTTAAAAATATGTATATATAAACATGCACTTGGATATATATAGAAAATTTTGCAAGGACACTCAAAATTATCAACAGTGGTTTATCTGTGGGGAGTGGGTCACCTGAGGAAGAGGGAGTAGATTTTTACTTTGCACTTGATGCCCCTGTACCTTTTTGAAACCATGAATACTATTACTTCTATTTCTTTGTTTCTCAACAATTTTAATTAAAAAAATTTTTTTGATAAGTAATACATTCACATGGTTCTAAATTAATAACACACAAAAGGCTCCCTTCCAACATGTATCCTCTAGCCATCTAGCTCCCTTCTCTGTAGGCAATCAATCATACCAGTTTCTTGTGATCCTTCCAGAGATATTTTATGCACATATAAGTCAATACAGATACATGTGCCTTGTATAGATGCATATACACCGGTGTATGTAAATACCTATAAACACACAAACATATGTGTATGTATACACACACATGCCCAACACACTTTGTTTTGTATATTGCCTTTTATCCTAAGTAATACGGCTTAGAGATTTTTCTGTATCAGTATATTAAGAGAATCCTTTTTCTCCCCCAGCTGCGTAGTAGTCAAATACATGGAAATTTTGTAATTTATTTAACCAGTTTCTCACTGATGGATCTTTCAGACCTTTTGCTATTACAGTTAATAATGCTGCAGTGAATAACAAATATTATATTACTTACAAATATTACATTATAAGCATATTGGTGAAATAAATTCCCAGACATAAAACTGCCAAGTCAAAAGGCATGTGCATTCAAATTTTTGAACAATTCTGCAAAATTGCCTTCCACAGAGGTTATCCCAATTTATGGTTCCACTAGTAATTAGTGCCTTTTTATCTATATCCTTAACTAGTAAAATAAAAAATTGCGTCTCAATAGAATTTTAATTTTTATTTTTCTTATGATGAATGAAGATAAGCACCTTTTTTTTGTCCAAGAGTTATTGGTATTTAAGCACCCCAGAAAGTTCCCTCATCCTCCGTTTCAGTCAATCCCCACACCACTACCTTCCCTGAGCCCCAGGCAACCGTGTCTCTGATTTTTTCCCACCACAGATGAGTTTCGTCTGTTCTAAACTGTCACATAATGGAATAATATAGTTTGTACTCTCTTGCGTGTGCCTACTTTTAGTCAGGTGTTCTGGAAGATCCATCCATGTTATTGCATGCATTAGTTATTTGTCCCCTTATATTGTTGATCATATTCCATCATATTCCATATACCACGATTAGCATATCCATTATCCTATCAATGTACACCTGAGCTGTTACTAGTTTTGGGCTATTATGAATAAAGATGCTATAAACAACAAAAAAAAGTTATTGGTATTTATTTTATATGTATTAATATAACAAAACAATTTGTGTATAAATTTTTGAATGAGAAACTAATTTGCACTGTAAACTTTCAATAATAAGAAAGATTAATTTAAGAAAAATCTAAAAGCTTGGAATTTATTGTTTTGTACAAGCTGATGTATTTTAACGATTTATATACAAGAGTCGAGTGTTCCATCACTCTATTAAAACTACAAGCTGTATAATATACCTATTTAGCAGGTAAAGCAGTATACTGAATTCTGCAAAGAATTTGTTTTTAAATTAATCCTAAATATTACAGAAAAGAGACATAAAAATGAAAAAGCAAAAATATTTTTAAAAAAATACTTTGCTCATTTAATAGGAATAAACAACTTCATTTATGTAATTTGAACCACATTTTCCTTACTTACTGCATAAGCAGAACATTTTCTCCTGCTTCTTTTTCTATAAATAAAATAAAAATTAAATTTGTTCAAGGATAAATTGATAATGCATTAGAAAAATTACATAAGGAGATTAATAACAATTAAAAAAAAAAAATTCTCACTACCCACCCTACCTCCCACCCCCATGGCTTACGTTAAACATTTAAAGCAGTAAGACAGAAAATGAGTTACATCAATTATCTGGCTAGACAGTCACAGTAAAAATTTTAAATAAAACATATTTAGCAGGAATTGCAGTGACATATTTACCTGCAATTTCTGACTTTCTCAGTGTTTTCGTATGAGACTCTGTCTGGAATATCCTAGAAGAGAAAATAAAGACTATTGAAAATCAATTTTTAATTAGACTCTTTTGATGTTAATTTATAGCCTGTTTTGAGCTAGGTAAAAGTTAAAACTTTGACTGCAGTTTCCTCTTTGCTACATCATGTACTATTACTTTTCTTTTTTTTTTTTAATTGTGCTTTAAGTGAAAGTTTACAGTTCAAGTCAGTTTCTCATATAAACATTTATACACACATAGCTATGTGACAGCACACCCTCCCTTCCACCCTGGATTTCTCGTGTCCATTCAACCAGCTCCTGTCCCTTTTTGCCTTCTCATCTCGCCTCCGGAAAGGAGCTGCTCATTTAGTATCAGGTATCTACTTGAGCTAAGACGCACTCTCTTCAAGAGTTTATCATTTTATGTCCCATAGTCCAGTCTAACCTATGTCTGAAGAGTTGGCTTCGGGAATGGTTTCAGTTCTGGGCTAACAGAGTCTGGGGGCCATGCTTTCCAGGGTTCCTCCAGTCTCAGTCAGACCATTAAGTCTGGTCTTCTTACTAGAATTTGAGTTCTGCACCCCACTTTTCTCCTTCTTCATCGGGGACTCTCTGTTGTATTCCCTGTCAGGGCAGTCAATGGTGGTAGCTGGGCACTATTCAGCTCTTCTGGTCTCAGGCTGATAGAGTCTCTGGTTTATGTGGCCCTTTCTGTCTCTTGGGCTAATATTTTCCTTGGGTCTTTGGTGTTCTTCATTCTCCTTTGCTCCAGGTGGTTGGGACCAACTGGTACATCTTAGATGGCTGCTTGCTAGCTTTTAAGACCCCAGACGCTACTCACCAAAATGGGATGCAAAACATTTTCTTAATAATCTTTGTTATGCCAATTGACACTAGTTGTCCGCTGAAACCATGGTTCCAGACCCCCGCCCTGTACTATTACTTTCTGAAATGCCAAAATTAGTTTAACACATTAAAATCTGTTATGGTTTTCTACTGAGCTCTGGCCTAATCAATTCTTTTATCCTTCTCAAAAACCTAAAATACTCATTTTATTTAACAAACATTTATTAAGCACCCACTGTGTGCCTGGTGGAGCCCTGGTGGCACAGTAGATAAGAGATATGGGTGCTAACCAAAAGGTCAGCAGTTTGAATCCACCAGCCCCTCCTTGGAAACCCTATGGGGCAGTTTCCTGCCCTGTAGGGCCACCACTAGTTGGAATCAACTCAACGGCAATGGGTTTGGTTTGGTTTACATGCCTGGTACTATACTAAAGTCTGAGATTCAATATCATGATCCTTGACCTCAAAGAGCTCCCACTGTAAGTAGACAGCCGGAACAAGCACATAATATTATAAACATCATCTCAATGGCTTTTGATATTAACAACTCAGATAAGCTAGCATGGGCCTCAGAGGAAGGGATCCCTTTTCACTGGGATGATCAACAATAAGCTTCATGGAGAAGGTAGCATTTGATATCTGCCTTGAAGAATCTGAACCATTCTATTCTGCTAATATTGAGTACCTCCATTATACAGAAGCTAATCTTAATTAGAAGTAGAATCTTATTTCTAAGAGCCGTCACATGAATAGATATATGCACACTCATGTTCATTGCAGCACTGTTCACAATAGCAAAAAGATGGAAACAACCTAGGTGCCCATCAACCGACGAATGGATAAAAAATCATGGTATAGCCACACAGTGGAATACTACGCAATGAGAAAGAATAACGATGAAGCCGTGAAACATCTTATAACATGGATGAATCTGGAGGTCACTATGCTGAGTGAATTTAGTAAGTCACAGAAGGACAAATATTATGTAAGACCACTATTATAAGAACCCAAGAAAAGGTTTAAACACAGAAGAAAACATTCTTTGACGGTTACGACGGTGGGAAGGGAGGGTGAGGGTTATTTACTAACTAGATAGTAGAGAAGAATTATCTTAGGTGAAGGGAAGGACAGCACACACTACAGGGGAAGTCAGCACAACTGGATTAAACCAAAGCTAAGACGTTTCCTGAATACAATT